AGACAGTAGAAAATAAGTTGTAAATACATTAAGGAATATCGAGATGACAATAGAGACATTGTGTATCTTGATGAAACGTGGTTTGACACCCATGATGTAGTTCAATATGGCTGGATGAATAATAGCAAAAAGTGCTGCTTGAATACTCCTTGTTCGAGAGGAAAAAGAATTATAATTCTACATGCTGGGGACTAAGAGCGGGTTTGTACCTAATGCCTTGTTATTATCGGCCAAAAACATTAACAGTGTCATCAGCTGATTATCATGAGGATATGACGGCTGAAACTTTTCGAAAAATTGGCAACGGAACAGCTGTTACCGAATATTAAAAACAAATTCCGTGATAGTAATGGATAATGCGTCATACCATTCTAGACTCTACACCAAAATTCCAAATACTAGCTCCAAGAAGGGAGATATAGAATTTATGGAGAACAAATGCATGGCAACACCTAGTAAATGTACCAAAAAGAAATTGTTGCAATTAGTTAAGCAACAACATTTTCAAAAAGAATATGTAATAGATAAACTCTTTGAACGCCACGGGCATACGGTTTTTACGGCTCCCTCCATATCTTTATGTTTTCAACCCAATTGAAATATGGGCCAATATAAAAAAGAAATTGCGGAAAATGAATCAATCTCCCCAATGAAGTGACGTTGTTTGTCCAAAATATAAGAACAGTGATCGAAGAACTTAACAAAACTGACATTTGGAAAAAATTGTGTAGCGCATGTTCAAGTAAAAGAAAAAGAATATCCTACTTTACCACCAATTGAACCGGTAGTTATAAACACAAACGACAACTCAAGTTCGGACACACGGATAGTGATAGTGTTAAATTGTTTGAATATTTCTACAAAGACTTCCACAACTTGTCAAAAATATGTTCTGTGTATCGAAGTAAATGTGATCTCTCGATTAATCTATAACCCAAGAGAAAATTCGACTGTAAGACGAATTGGCCGATTTCATGTAAGTATTTTTCAAAAATAACCTCTTTAAACCGATGAAACTTACAAATCATATTCATGATATATTTTTACCAAAAAAGGGAATCAACTTTGTTTTGAGCGTAACTTGCTTACGTTTGATGCTAGAACACTTTTTTAAAATTAAAAATAAAGATTTCTTTAAACAATTAAAAAAAAAAAGTAAAAAAAACATTTTTTTTTATTATTTCACGTTGAATTATTCGATATGGAATTTGACGAATAGGTAAGAATCTATTTTTCATTAGCTATAACTCTGCTTCTGCTGGGTATACAGACTTCATACATATACCATTGTTTTCACTTTTTTATAAACTGTATTTTTTGCTACGAACATTTTTTCCATAAAATACTTACCTTTTGAGTTATTTGCGAGGAAATCGTCCAAAAACGTGGTGTTTTTGATGGAAAAATGAATATATTCACTCGCAAATAACTCAAAAAGTATTGATTTAGTAAAAACCTCTATAGAACAAAAGTTACCTAGAATTAGTCAGTTTATCCACTTCCGGACTTATTTTGGATGTATATCTTTTCACCCCCCCAAGAAGGTGCGGTACTCACCCACAGGGCAAAAATACACATCGGCACAATTCACTTTTTTTCTTTGACACGTTAGCTATATGTGTATGACAAATTTCATGTCAATCCCAGTGGTTCTTTAAAATTTAGAGGTTTTTACAATATTTTACCGTTAGTGAATGGACTATATTGTGTATTAACTTTTAATCATCTTGGTGTCAAGTTTATAAAGAATGTGAATAATTAACAATATTATTACTGTTTAACAAAATATTAGACCTTAATTTAAAAACTAAAAGTTTATTTTTTAATTTCTGTTGCGCCGCCTATGTTTTACAAAGACGCCGACATTTGAGTGTCGATTTTGTTTTTATTGACTTGTCCAACTGACATCGTAGAAACTTTAGTAACTACGTGTTTTACCAATAAAAACATTCACAGAGATATACAGGGTGGTCCTTCATCATCATCATGGCTTATTCACTCCTGGCGGAGTGTTTGCCGCCCTTTTAGGATCTCTGATTCATTTATTGCGGAGAATCAGTCCGCTGTTGTTTTTTTTTTATTATTATTATAGCAGTGTGTGTGACTTGGCCCTGTACAATTTTCCTCCATTCTTTCCAGTCCTTACAGCGCTCCTTCCAATTGTAGATTCTCAGCTTCTTTATGTCTCCTAAGACTTGATCTCTCCATCTTGTTTTGGGGCTCCCCTTTGGTCTCTTTGTTGTTGGTCTCCATCCAGTTATTCGCTTTAGCGTAGAGTCGGGGTTAGCTCTTTCTGTGTGCTCCAGCCACCTGAGCCTTTGCGTCTTCACGAACTTGATTATGTCTTCACCCTCGATGACTTCTTTAATTTCTTCATTGGTAAATTCGCCTACACTTATCCTCACCGGTCCCATTATTCGTTGAATTATCTTTCTCTCTAAGATTTCCAACCTCATTTCATCTTTTTGTGTTAGGCACATCGTCTCTGTACCATAGGTGATCACTGGCCTGATTGCAGTCTTGTAAATTTTTAATTTGGTTTTCTTACTAATGTGTTTTTCTTTCAGGAATTTTTGGTAGTTCCAGTAGGTTTTATTACCCAGTAGGATGCGTTCATTTATTTCATCCGTTCTATCATTTCTGTCATTCACCATCACTCCCAGGTATTTGAAACGGTGTACTCTTTCAAATGTATATGCACCAAGCTTAATTTCTTTCTCTATGTTCGTATTCTCTCTTGAACACTTGAGGTATTTCGTTTTGCTTTGGTTTATTACTAGCCCTCTCTTCTTTGCTTCTTTATCTAGTATTAATATTATGTTCTGCATGGTTTTTAAATCTCTAGTAACCAGTGCAATATCGTCTGCATACGCTATCAGTTGGGCTGAAGATTCGATAATCGTTCCCATAATTTTGGTTGCTCTTACTGCCCCCTCTATGACAATGTTAAATAATGTTGTTGACAGGGAGTCTCCCTGTCTGACACCTACCTCCATTTTTACTTCATCTGACGGGCCTTCCCTTGTTAAGATTCGTGCCTTGGATTCCTTCATCGTCATTTTCGTGAGACTTATTAGTTTTTCTTGGATGCCTAATTTTTTAATATCTTTAATTAGTTCCTCCCTTATTACACTGTCCAAAGCTTGCTTGTAGTCAATAAACAGTATATGTTGATCTATTCCGTGCTCGTAACGTTTTTCGACGATTTGCGTTACAATGTGTATTGCATATATTGTTGACTTACCTTCTCTGAATCCATGTAGGTATTCACCTATTTTTGTTCTAGTTTCTTTTTCTATTCTTTGTCTTATCAAATTAGTTAATATTTTGTACATTGTATGTAATAACGTGATTCCCCTGTAGTTAGTGCATTTCGTCTTGACGCCTTTTTTAGGGATTGGTGTTATCAGACCACAATTCTAGTCGTTCGGCATGCGTTTTTCTTCCCATATTCGTTCTATTAGGTTGTGGATTCTGTGGGCTAGTTCCTCTTCCCCTTTCTTGAAGAACTCATTTATAATGTCGTCTGGTCCTGCTGCTTTTCTTGTCTTTAATCTGTTTATAGTCGCCAATACTTCGCTGTATGAGGGAGGCTCTGATTGTTCTCCAATCCTATTTTCTGTTTGTTCTTCATTTTCTGTGTTTTCAGCATCGTCTTTCTTTTTAAACAGTTCTCTATAGTGCGTTTCCCATTCCAATTTTCCAATATTTTTATGTATTTGTATAGTCTTGCATTGTCATTACTATTGGCTTCGAGTTCCTGCAGTAATTCTTCGATCCATTTCTTCTTTTTTGTTTTGAAGCATTTGTCTGACTCTTTCTTCTTCTCTTTATAGTGTAGGAGATCTTCTTGTTTCCCTGTAGCCACCCACCTGTGTCTTGCTTTGTCCTTTTCTTTACTAGCTTGCTCGCATTCTTCATCGTACCAATCCTTTCTTTTATTGTCTTCCATTAGTCCTATCGTCTCGTCTGCTGTTGTTAAGATACTATCTTTTATGCCTTCCCATATTTTATCTATGTTCGTATAAGGGTGGTCCTTAAGTTGTACAAAAAGAAACCGTAGATTCTACACTTTAAAATATTACGATTTAAACCAAATTGCTTTAATAAAACGTTGATATTAAGAAAGATACAGGGTGTTAAAGTGGAAATTTAAAATTTTAATTTTCGCTATAACTTTCACGTTTGTGAACATATGTATAAAAATTCCTAACTGGGTACTGTTAAACATCAGGAATTATAATTTAATGTATACTTTAATGTAGCTCATAGAGGGAGCCACATATGCCGCATATGTGGCATACATCTGCACTTAAATTTTTTGCTCTTTAAGTTATCGGTGTTTGTGATAAAAAATATTAAGGATACATTATTTTAACTCCAATATTAACTCTCCATTTCTCCCTCCCACCACTCTCACCTCGGCGAATTGCTCTTTGCCTGCCTAGCAGCCTTCAAAGATGAATGAAGATGAATGAATGAATGAATAACTATGAAGATATTAACATCAGAAATGAAAAACACTGAGAATGTGTACATAATGTGGAGCAAAATCAAAGATTATGTTATAAAAACAGAAAGAATTTCTACAAAATAAAACAGAAAGTCGAAAACCTTGGATGACTCTTGAAATACTGGAAATCATGGAACAAAGAAGAAAATATAGAAACAAAAACCCAAATAAGTACAGAGAAAAACATAAATTAATAAGAAACAAAATAAAAGAGGCCAAGGAAAAGTGGATGATGGAAACATGCATCGATGTGGAAGAATTGCAGAAAAAGCATGATCATTATAATTTACATAAAAAAGTAAAAGAATTATCTGGAAAATCACGAACAAATACACCTAACCGATTAATTGAGAAAATGCAGCAACACATCTACTAAGATATTAATGACTAGGATGATACAGCAGGCTTTAATTAGTTCTGTACGCGGATTTTTTAAAAATGTAGAAAATATAAATATAGAAAATGACATTAAATATTCTCTACTTACATTTTCAGGACCGCTAGTAGAAGAAGATTGAAGAATAGCCTCAGTAGATACAGCTGTCGAAGCAGTTTGTGTATGACTAGTAGCAGAAATCCTATACTGCATCCCGGCTATACTGCAATATCCTTCGTGATGAGTCGATCTAGTGGTACTGTTCACATATACACCAGTTATAGTCACATCCGTATCCTGGTTTAAAATAACCGCGACTTTTTTATTAGGAGTAGTACTTATATCGATCAATTCCTCCTTTTTATCATCCTGTTCTACCTTAATATCCTTATCCAAAGCAGCGAAATATTCATCAGAAGAATTGCTGGTGCAAGAAGAGCTATCGTCGCTATATTTGGATTTATTTTGTCGCCTCTCTTGGGAGTAGCTGGCTGCCAGTATGGCAGTAGCATTCAAACTAGCCATTCGCTTACGAACGACCATATCCTTTAGATCCATGACGATTTCGCTCGATTTTCGTTTCCTTTCAACTACTTCCTTTTTTATTTTTGGTTTTGGCGGAGCTGGTTTCTCATCGGACTTTGGTTTCTCAACTGGTACTTTGCAAATACGATCATCTTCGTCTGAGCTTGTTGTATCATGCATATCCCAGTGTTTGCCGACTGCTCTTAAACCAGGAACTGATCGCAAAATTCTAGTCGGTGGCGGAGAACTCTCTTGTTCTTGTTCTTCATCAAAGTCAACATTTTTAATAGAAGTGTCAGTTTTAGTTAATTTGGTTTTGGTGCCGAAACTTTTGGGCATATAAGCTGTTTTGTTGGATTCTTCGATCACGTCCAAGATAGTTGCTCTTGTTTCATTTTCATACAGACAGTGAACCTTAGCTAAAGCATTTAAAGAAGCTACTCTGTGTCTCTTTGGTCCGTTCCAAAATTTAAACAGCTTTGTCTTGCAAGCTTGCTCATCCAAGTTATTTTTACCTTTTTGCAGAACTCTCTTTTTGATAACGGTCAACTTTGGTTTTGATTTTAGTTTTATGTATTTTTTCTTTTTAAGCAACGCCTGTTTTTCTTTGGATGACGAGTCTGACTCACTTCTACTTTGAGTTTCAATTTCAACCTTGGGCTGAACTTCAGGTTTAACCTCGGCTTCAGTTTTACTGGTATCCTCAGATTTTTCGTTATCTAAACAAACTTCAGTTTTTGGTACAACAGGAATATCTTCTGAAGATATTTCTACTTTTGGTTCTGGTTTTTCTTCTTTTATTTTAATCTCCAAAGTGGAGTACACTGATTCAAGTTTAAGTATTTGATCAAAAAGTTCTTCTGCCTTATCTTTTGATTTGACCAAATTCTCTGCTGGGTTTACAGAAATTTTCTTGCGCTTTTTAATTTTAGCAGTTTTGGTTTTTTTAGATTTTATTTCTTCATTGACTTGTTTTAACAACTGTTTTATAGTTTGTTGTTTTTTGATCTCATCCTCATCAGGAATTGTTATAACATCTGGAGGTTTGTTATTTGTCTTTACATATTTCTCTGTTTTCTTTAAACTCGTTTCTGTTGGCTTCGCAGCGACCTCTGTTGTTTTTACTGTAATATCCTTTGGGGTTTTTTGGGGACTCTCTGCTGTTTTTACATAGGTATCCTTGGTCGCTACTACAGAAGTATCTTTTGGTGTTTTTATACAAATGTCTTTTGTATATTTTAGGGAGATGCCTTTTGATGTTTTTATTGGAGGTTCTTTTGATGCTTTTAGAGTAACTTTTACAGTTACTTTTTTCGATTTCCTGATGATTGGTTTTATAATTGTCCTAGCCTTAACTATAGTTTTCTTTGTAATCTTTGGTTTGTCTACTTCTCTAAGTTTTTTCTTGCTATCTTTTGATACACTCTCAAGTTTTGGTTTCTTTAATGTTATTTCTTTTATGGGTTGCGTAATAATGTCTGCTATTTTATTATTAAATTTCTTTTTACAGCTATTTTGGGCACTTAGTTTTTTGGCAGCTTTTGTTTGAGCTTTGGAATTTGATTTAACAGTAACTTCTTTCGAAGGTTTAATTCTTAAATTTTTGCCTTCGAATTTCCTTAAGATTCTATGACTTCTAGTAGTATTCTTTTTCGCCCGCACAACACTTTCTTTCTCTGGGGCGCCACTTTCTTTTTCAGACACAACACTTCCTTTTTCTTGAGAAACGCGTTGTGGTGAAGAAAGTTGACCGAGAATTACGAAATTTATAGTTTCATCAATGGTATTGGGTACGGGAATAGCTGTGTCGCTTATAGGTTTTCTTTTTGGCGCTGCAACTTTTTTCACTGCTTTTATTGGTTTTTCCTGTCTAACTGGCATTGAACGCATCCTGATCTTTGCTTAACCAATATTCACATCCTCTCCTACCCCTGAAACAAAGTAAATTATTTTAGTATACATGTATAAAGAACTAGAACTACTATTTGGGGAGTTTTACTCTAGAACTACTACAAAGAGCTTCATAACTGGAAATCTCCTGGACCAGACGGCATTCAAACTTCTGGCTTAAGAATGTTTGGAGTATACATGAGTGCTTATCAGCAATAATTAATCATACTATTTCTAATCCGCAGAAAATACCATCTTTCCTAACCCAGGGAAGAAATTTAATACCAAACGATCAAAATAACACCCAAGATCAAACCAAGTATCGCCCAATAACGTCTCCTAACTCTGTATAAATTGGTCACATACTGTGCAGCCCGGCGTATCAACTAAAACTGTGCTCTAAACAATATCATAAAGCCTTAACAGAAAGGAATGCGCTAATGGTTCCATGGGCTGCAAAGAACAACTAATCATCGACTCTGTCATTTCTAACCAAGCATATAGCAAAAAAAAGAATCTCAGTACTGGTTTCATCGAATACAAGAAAGAGTTTAATTCAGTGACGCATGAATGGTTTATAGATATATTAAAAATATATAAAGTCGATGAAAACATAGTGACCATTTTAAAACATATAATGTCAGATTGGAAGACAAAAATTCACCTCAAAATACCTGGTGAAAACAATATCAAACTGAAAATATTGCAATTAACCGGGCCTATTTCAAGGAGATTCGTTGAATCTACTGTAGATTTGTCTAGCGATGAACCACTTATCCCAGCTACTGAACTCAATTGACACAGGTTTTAGCATCAAAAATAACACTACTGTTGTGGCAAAGCTTAATCATCTATTGCTATTGTATATGGATGACTTAAAACGATTGGCTTCCACTCGAAGCCACCTGGATCAGATGCTGAAATCAGTAAAAAATATTTCTAATGATATTAATATGCACTTTGGTCTTGACAAGTGCCGTGTCTTAAATATAATCAAAGGAAAGGTTCAGCCCTGCGGATTCGATATGAAAAATGGCAGAACATCGAGGCCATGGGTGAAAATGATATGTATAAACACCTCAGAATGAAGCAAGCGCGGAAGATTGACCATAAGGAAATGAAACTGAGATAACTACTGAGTTTATACGAAGGATAATGCTCTGCTCCATGTGCTTCGTACACCTTAACAGTAAAAATTTGTTTAAGGAACTAAACACCTACTCATCTTTGAATCATAGGCCTTGATTACAAAAATTAAGGATTACAAGTGACACAGCGGTAACGATACCCGTTTACGTTCCCGATAGTAGATAGATCTATTTCAGGGATGCGACCCTGCCATAATTATCTCCCAATCTCTTAGTACATGGAAAAACTATGTCCTAGACCAATTCTCCCACCTAATTATCAGTTTCCCTTCCCATATTCTACTTTGATTTCGAGCAGCAGCTATATCAATACCAAGATAGAGGCAATGAAGAAAGCAATGGGAAACTACATTACTTTTCCTTAGTATAATCATCATCACAACTGAAATACAATATAAGGCCCTCAGTCCCCGACGGGCTTTTGATAGTCAGAGGGTATTAGAATCCTCTGGGCGAATTTAAGATTTGAAACGTGGAATCTAAGGTCAGATGGCCGTGTAATGGTAAATGCTCTACAAGCAATGGGATGTTATACTATTCTGAAAGTGACATTCAGTAAACCGATCCAAACAGAGTCTGAATTTTGGTGGATAAAATTACCAATCGATCAATCATTGATTGTATTTCCTTTTCAGAAAGAATAATGTTATAACTTCATACCCCAAAAGTTAAAATTAATGTAGTACAATTCTATGCACCTACAGAGTGAAGATAAGAAAATCAGAGAAACAATTAATAAAATATGTTAAAAAAATTGAAATTTTTATTATAATGGGTGATTTAATGCCAAAGTAGGCAAAGGGAAATGTGAAGATTTGATTAGAGAACATGGACTATGGACCTGCCGAGTGCAATGCAAGAGGAGAAAGATTGAACGAGTTTGTCCAATAAATAGAAATGGTAATAACAAAAACGTTATAAAAGCTTCTACCAATAATATTTCAACAAACATAATGATCACCATCACTCGAAAGCAAAATATCCAAATAATGGATGTGCTGCTAAAACAATACTAATACACAAAAAGGGAGACACCACAGACCTGAAAAATTATCGACCAATTTCACTTCTTTCACAACTTTACAAAACCTTCACAAAGATTATTACAAACAGGTTAACAATCAGTAGAACAAACCGGATTTAGAAAAGGGTACAGCACCTGTGGCCATCTATATAGGTACTTTGAAAATCTTAATAGAAAAGACTAACGAATACAATCTCCCACTATGTCTGGCATTTATAGATTAGGAAAAAGCTTTTGATAGCGTAGAACTGTGGACAATAGAAGAAGCCGACAACAACCCGTCAACAACCCGACCAATTCCAGGTAGAGAATATTAATACATAATATTTACGAACAAGCTGAAATGATAGTAACGTTGGGTAATGGAATCGAAACAAGACCAGTAAAAATCAACCGAGGAGTAACACAAGGAGACATAATATCTCAAAAATTATTTACAGCTGCCCTAGAAGATATTTTTAAGTCAATAGACTGGGAAAATAAGGGAGTCCCTATTAACGGAAGGTACTTGAACCATCTTAGATACGCAGATGATGTAGTACTAATACACGTGGAATGCACTGACTATGATAATTGAGGAGCTACACACAGAATCCCTAAAAAAGGACTAAAAATTAATTTCAGTAAAACTAAACTAACATTAAACAAAGATCACAAACCTATGATAAACATCCAAGGGACAGAGATAGAACACGTAGATGAATATACATATCTGGGTCAAAATGTCAAGGTAAGCAAAGAAAATCAGACTAATGAAATAACCAAACGTGTAAAAACGAGATGGGTAGCACTCAAAATCAGACTACCGAAATAAGCAGACGTGTAAAACTGGAATGGGCAGCATTCTGAAGACTCTCATACATACTTAAAAATAAAAATAAACCTCAAATACTGCGAACCAAAGTGTTTCAATTCCTGTATCCTACCTGTACTTACATATGGAGCTCAAACCTGGACATTCACTAAAATAAATATGGAGAAGATGAGAAAACTTAGAGAACTATCGAACGACAGATGGTGGATTAACAGTAGAATGTAATTTAGAACTACAGTAAATGCATGATTAAAACACTAGACATGTTTTTAAACTCAATAATATTTTTTCACTAACCTAATCAGTTTTTAATTAATTAATTTTACAGAATAGCTCACCTTGAAAGCGCTCGAATTTCAAAATAAAATTAAACCGGTAAATTAAAGTAACAAAATGAGATTTTCAACCCCGCTCACAACAACAATCTTCTCGTTTCACAATCCGAGCGAAACTGATGTATGATGGATAAAATACCGGAACAGCGGAAGAGATTACTCTAGAATCAGTTTACAAAACGATATGGTGCCATTTCTGGAATTAAATTAAAACACTGGAGAACAAAATAAACTTATTGTTTTCGCTAGGAACTGCGATTTGAAATTGGTCATGTCTCGCAAGTTTGTCGAAAATATACACTTTTCTAGATCATTACATATCAGTTAATTATGAACTTATTTTTTGTCAAGTAAAGATGTTTACAACTACGGCTCTGAGTCAGAATATATAGACCTTTTATCGGAAATTACAGTGGCATATCATTAACAAGAGATCAACAGGAACTACATCGATTCCTAACACCTGAACTAAATATAAACAATGATAAAAACTTAGCGTGTACAACTACCATTTTGTCGCCATAACAAACGTAAATAAAATCATATACCCAGATGCCATCATGACCAGTGATCCAGCTATCATGCCATCATCTAGGATTGGAGTACATAGTGGATGCTGCGAAGACCCACCAGGAGTTATAAAACCACTCAAGAAGATCATGACCAGTGATTACTCCATAACGAAGGACACCCTATAGTCCAGCAATTAATTGAAGAGGGTGACTCCTCACAGGATCGAATTATATTATTAGAAATTAATTCCTTCATGATGTATCTGTAGGTTCCTTTGTAGGTCGTTCTGTAAATTTCTTAATAGCATAAGTCTTGCCTTACAAGAATTTAGATACGTGACTTTCTACAAATAATGCTTTTCTCTGAATTTATTTTTTAAATTCACACATATCATTCGCCTTATGCGAATGCAACTTTCATGGTTGCGTATTAGACAATGGTGTGGTACCGCAGTAGAAGAATTATTTCGCACACCAGCCGATAGAAAACGAGTTCAGGAAATTGTAAACATGATGATAGCCAACGTCTGAATACGGACGCGACATCCAAAGAAGAAGAAAAAGCTCTAAAGCCATATATGGCAGATAAAAATGTGGATCTTAAGCTTCAAAATGTTGAAAAATAAAGTGTCGGCAATAAAGCGGAAAATGTTGTGCTCCAAGTAGACAAATCGTATCAGGTTTATCGGTGTAGACTAGCGATTTCACATATCCCCACAGAAAATAATCTGGCGGTGTTAAATCGCACGTTCTTGGAGGCCAATTCACGGTCCGAAAAATGAAACTATGCGGTTACCAAACGTTTGTTTCAATAAATCAATTGTGGCACCAGCTGTGATGTGATGTGTTAAAACCACAGCTCCTGCACATCATGGTTGTCCTCAATGAGGAATAAAAAAGTCAGTAATCGTGGCTCTATACAGGGTGAGTCATGAGGAACTTTACATACTTCTACCATATGTAGAGTCCCTCAGGGAGCATATCATGTGGCCACTAAAAAATGTCAACTCCTCTTCTTTATTAATTAACAGGGTGATTTGTGTAATTGACCATTTATTTCATTTTACTGTAGTGTTTATACGGCTCATTTGATTTTTTAAATTTTTGCATGATACAGTACACTACTATCAAGCATTCGACTGGTATTAGCTAAACTAAAAAATTCCAGGACTGGCTTATAAACAATACTTATACAATAAGTGATTTTC